TTTACTCAACCACTGATGTTACTTTGCAGTATTTTTATCAATGTGTTTTGAATGCAATATTTGTATTCAACCTTCAGACACATGCAATGAGACAGAAAACTCGCTTTCCCATACATTGCTAGCACAGTTTTGTGCCCACTTGTCCCTGCAAGACAAGTCTCTCATTTGGGCTATGCCACCAAGATAAGGTGCTAAATGAAGGCAAACAATCTCGCAAACAGCATGTAAAGCAAGGGAGAGGGAGAGTCACTCACATTCATCGTGTGTACCCTGGCAGACAATGCAACAACAACAACAAGATTACATTTGTATGCTCTCCCGCAGCACTGCACTGAAGTGTCAGCCTAGCATATGACCTGAAAGACCCAACATTGTTCTTGAATCCACAACCTCCTGACTTTACTGCCCATTGAGCCAGGCTGACATCTGGGTATTCTCCATAAAGAATATCAACCCTCCAATCAGTGCAGTACTCTCATAATACTGACAGTACTGGTGTCATCTTAGACGTCCTACAAAATTAACTTCATACCAAAAAAATCAACCTTTTTTAAATAAAAAGAATGTTATACAAGAACTTTGCTTTACTTTCCATTCCTCAGCCTCTAAGTCATGAGGCCAATTGTAGACTCCTTCTTCACTGAGATCAGCTAATTCAGCATAAAAATTAAGTGAACCTGTGATATTTCAGGATCTATGGCATAGTACAGCACTGGAAGTGATTTTGCCCAGTGTTCGATTAGGACGTTATAGTTGATGCATTTTAATGCATTAAACTAGGAAGTGATGCTGAATGAACAATTGGTGGTTCCACAGCTTGACTGAACCCAAAGGAACAAAAATGCCTCTAGCAATCGGGGCATCAGTGGCACAGAGGTGAGCTAAACTGTCTCAGAGGTGAGAGAAAAACACATAACGGCTCAACATATTATAATCATAACACAAAAAAGCGGAGAACAACAAAGCATCAAACCTACTCCATCCACAGTCCATACACAATGCACCCAATTATACAGTTCATCTGATCTATTATTCTATCTCTTGGGAGAATGGCTTGCATAGAAATTCCCTGAACCATATTTTTTTTAAAAAAAAAGATAACTGTGCATGGATGACTCAAAAGAGTCACTGGCAGAAGTTTGGAAGTAGATTGTTTGCTTTTCCTTTCATTCTACGGATTTAAGAGAAAACACAGAAATACTAGAAATAGGAAGAATAGGGATTGTTCTGGTTCAGGGACCATTTTCTCTTTCCTGACCTACAAAACAATGTTTCGCTATAAACAAAAATTGACTAGTGGAGAGAAAAACGTCTATGGAGGAAATCATTCCCACTTTACACATGTTTGCCTTCTGACAAGTAGACCATAAAGTGATATTGACAAGTTCTTCAGAGGCATCTATAGTCTGAATTATGCCTTCAATGCTACCCTTCCAATCAGATTGCAGAGTGAACTAAAATGAGGGAAGAGAAGAGAGGTAATCTGCGTTCACCAAATGAATGAATTAAATTACCCGGCTGATTTATTTTTTATTTTCATGTTAAATGATTTCCAGACAATTGCAGTTTCCAATTAATCATGAAAAACAATATATTTGGAATTGAGATGCTGATTTAGTAACCCGGAGCCCACCAGTTTTGTGACATTTTGAAGCCGTACATGAATGAATACACTTGTTAAATCATCCAGAATAATTCTGAATTGCACAATTCGCAATGCCAAAACTGTACCATTGGAGTCTGCACATTTTCTTTTATACAGCACTTACTTATTGTTCAGTTTGCTTTCGAAATTACTTTCACATCAATCATGCAATCAGCCACACACAAAAAAATCTGACACCAGATGATATGCATGTAACAAGATGAGCGTGATGGACTGTAAAGTATGTATTACCACAAGGATGTGTATGTATCTTCCATACCACATCCAGAGTTTCTGCTGTGAATCAGAGTGACATTTATGGTGCTATAACAATGATCACATCTGGAAATTATGCTCACTTTTAACAGAAATCTACATCTGTTTCAGTAAAGAAAATATGCGAGTAGTTACATTTACTGTTGCACTGCTAAAATGATGCTGATAATAGCTGCATTTTTCTTTTCAAGCGTAATTTAACACCACTGTTGAACAGGCGTTTGATCTTGCATTAACTTAAGCTGAGCCAGACATACATTACAAAATCCCACTTTCATCATTGAAGTTAGAAAAACACATTCATCATAAAAGTTACAAAAACAATGTACAGATTTTAATCAAATTTAGATTACATTTAGACTATTAGTGAGAGGCTGCTTACTGCTTCCATTTTGAGTGTTTATTTTGGCTTTTTACCTGGGTAACCAATCTAAAACCTACAAATATTTAGCCTTTTAAAGCCTTGCTGCAAGGAAACTATGGGGTGGGTGGAGGGTGGGGGGGGGGTGGAATACTTGGTATGTGACAATTATTAGTCATGATATTTTTCAAACTGCATACATTTTGCCTCTATGTTTACATAAGGATATGTTGTGCCTGTAATCATACTGGTTCTTTAATGCTCTCCGATGAGAACAGGAACTACTTGTGGTACAGAATCCACAGCATTCAGTTCTTTCCTAACTAAGTTACAATCATCCTTCAAGGTCTTTTAGAAATCACGTCACTCCTCATTAGTCAAGAATAACTTTAACTGCCTTAGGAAACATTATCATCTCAAACGTTATCCTAAACTAAATGGTTCTGAATGTTCTGTTGAGAAAATGGTGCTTTACTCAATAAATGTACCTATCCTCCTTTATAGGAACCCAGGAGACTTGTGCAGACCAACCACTGATGATGATATTCATAGAGCCACAGAATGAGGAAAATACCCAGAGACATCATCCAGCGATAAGTAGCATTCTTATGAATGATAGGAAGGCAGCATTTGACAATCCCTAAAGTATTAAGATAGAATTCAGGAGTATTTGCAGGAGCGGTAGAGCTTAGTGGTTTCTGCATTGCTACATTAATTCAAGTTAGGAAAGGATCATGTAAAGAGCTCCATTAATTGCCCAACTTCTTTATTATAGGCTAAATATAAGGTCTACAGTCTATAAGGTTTTGACATTGAGGCTACAGAAAGTATGGAGGTTAGGATTTGATGATAATAATCCTTGCATTTGATACAGCGCCTTATCACGTCTTCGAGATGTCTCAAAGCGCTTCACAAAATACACTGTAAAGTGAAATGACTATATTTTGTAGGGGAAGCACAGCAGCCAATTGCGTCCCACAGACAGTCGTGGATTGAGTGACCAAATTATTATTATTATTATTATTTTGAAGGAATTATCACCTCCGGAAAAGCGATTTGCCAATCGACTAACAACTGGGTTCCTACTTACTGCTAGGTAAACAGAGGCGTGTGGAAGAAGGAAATTTGCCCAACATTTTGCCTGCCAGGAATTGATCCCAAGTCTCTCGCTTGCGAGGCGAGTTCTCTAACCACTGAGCTACAGGACTCCACAAACTGCACCCAAACTGGGTTAAACTTTATAAACAATGATTTTTTTAGTAATGAATCTACTATTTACCTAATTTCAGAAAGGATTAGATGAACTTTGGTGATAGCCAAGGACACAGCACGCACAGCTTGGTTTTCTTCATTAAGTGGATAGAAAGATTGAACGTATCTGAACTGGTTTATTACCAGTGCAGTCATTTTCAATCTTTTAATAAAGTCAATATAGACTGATGAATAGTGCTGGAGGAAGGTGATCACCACCCCAGGTCAGTATGGTTGAAAAAGATTGCAGAGGTAGGGTGTGGTGAGACAATCAAGGAACATAAAGCGATTGCTGTCAAACGTAGTGACTGTTTTTGTAGAGAAACATAACAGCCTTTTGCACCAGAAAGAACTCACAAAGAGTGATCAATGACCATTTAATTTCAAAGATTGTTGCTCAAGACACAGGGCGAAATCTCTCTGAAGCATTTATCTGAATCAGGCAGATGGGACTTTGATTAAATATCTCACCTTTGACAATACAGCACTCTTCCAGTACTGCATTAGAAAAGATGTTAAACCGAGGTCCCATCTGCCTGTTCAGGTGGATGTTAAAGATCCCATGGCACTATTTGAAGAGATGGACGTTTCTCCTGGTGTCTTGGTCAACAATCCCCCAAATAAAATTGATCACTCACTCCATGGCTGTCTGTGGGACACTGATGTGTGCAAACTGGCTGCCGCATATGACCCACAAAATAGTCAATCCACTTTACAGTATATTCTGTGAAGCGATTTGAAAAGTCTCAACAACGTGAAAAGGCGCTATATAAAATGCAAGGATTATTATTTATTATTAGTGTCAGCCTTGACAATAAATTTAAATCACAACAGGGGATTAGAATCTCAAGTTTCTGACTCGGAGGCAAAAATGCTGCTGAGGTAATCTGACCCTATATGGGTATTTGTCGAGAAAATCTGAATATAGCAGGCTATAAAACAAACTGGGGATATCAGAAATTATAACAATGATAATAATAATCCTTGCATTTGGTATAGCGCCTTTCATATCAGGAGGATGTCCCAAAGTGCTTCACAGGATATACTGAAAAGCTGAGTGACAGTGTTTGTAAGTGGACAACCTGCATAGATGAAATTGCAAAATCTCTATAAGAGTTTTACTATCAGGTGGACTAGACACATTGAATAACAATACTGATAGGATCAGTCAGCCTTCAGAAGCCTTCCACTCTTTGCCAGGGAGAATAGATACCGCCAAGATTATTTTGATTTTGCTACATTTTATTGTTGCATGATTTTCCTTTGTGCATGGATAGGAGTAGAAGGGTGATGCATATTGTTGGATGGGGCATATGCATGATCTTACAGAGATTACAGTTCCTTCATGTTTATATTTCTATTATATTATATAGAAAATAATGCAATTTAATTTGAAAATATTGATAATTTTGTAGGATTTTTGTAAATGGAACATTTAAATTTTTGCACTATGTGCTGATAGTGCAGTGCTAGTGTTTTATAACGTGAAAAGAATATCCAAGAATACATGAGCATTGATTAGAAACTTCTGATATATACTTTCTCTGGAATCTAGTAAAGTCTAGTGTGTTACTTAAAAGTTAAATTCCCTCATATTCCTACATGATTATTGTCATCCATTACTATTATTATAATGTCATACATTATTCCTATTCCCATCACATGTGGAGAAACTATTCAAGTGAATGCACAATAGTAGTCTCAATTCACCAAAGTGGCTGTCAGAATATTCTTAGCTGGAATGCTAAATGTACAATATATACGATCTAAAATAAAACATCACAGCAAAAATATTGAGGTTCTGGTACATTTAGAAGTGGCGTCAATTTTACTATCAGTTTATGACATCATCACACCTGTTGAGGGTACTGTAACCCGAAGAAACACACTTGTGTGGCACTTGTGTTTTGTTGCATACATTTAGTTTTTAGTGCAGGTAAAGATTATTCAATTGGATATCAGAAATTATAACAAGCAGAATAAGTTATTTAGGTTGCAGTCTCAACTAATCAATCATTGGTAGTAACGTTCAGCAAAAATTTCACAAAGTATATCCAGGGAGTTTGTTGGCTATTAGTTCAGATATATGTTTGCATTTGTTAGCAATTCCCATAGTACCTGGTTCATCCCCATCTTCTTTAAGGTCTACTGGAGTCATTTCACGTGCACTGAGATCAAAGTCCGAAACATTGGATGGTATATAGGAGCTCACCTGAGATGTGCCCACAGAATGGTCCTCTTCTAAAGTCCTGTTTCTATTCCTTGAATTTGAAAATTGGGGACTTTCTGTACTAGCTGGATTGTCCTCTATCATATAGTTCTCTGGCGTTGTTGATTTTATTTGTTTCTTAAATCTATTTTGCTTTGATGAGATGATTGAATCATCAGATGTATCTGAGAGTGTAGAGGACAGCGATGGTCTCCGATGGCGACCTTTTACTATGCATGTTCCTTTCAAAGCCAGAATTGGAGATTTTTCTGATGGTTCTGGCAGTGGAAATAAATCCTCTGTGTTGTGGCTGGCTGGTTTCTGACTGTCGTTGGAACGTTCCGACATGTGGGATTCTGATTCAGTGGTTGAATTGGTATGTTTCATCCCAGTGCCTGTAGTTTCTGTACTGCTACCCAGTGTATCTTCATATTTACTTGTAGGTTCAGGACTGGCAAACTCTTCTGAGTATTCAGCTGGTTCAAGATCGATGGAGAAGTCCTCAGAATACCTGGGTTCTGGACTGCTATGATAGCTATAAGATGTTTCTATACCACCGTCCTCTGGACTAGTATTAGTAGGAAAGCCATGGTTACCTTCTTGAGTCTGAAAAATATCCACATCTTCATTATAAGCTTCATTTTGAATATGGCCAGCATCATGGGGGAATGTTTTGGGCAGACGTACATTTACATCTTTCCCAATATGGCTGTCATTATCGTCACTAAACGTCACATTTCTGGAAAGCTTTGAAAAATTAGGTGAGTCTTGTTCAACTGTAGCTTGAATCAATGTCTCACCTTTATTTTTAAAGGCAGTACTTTGCAAAGATATTTGTCCACCACCTTTATCCAATTGGTGTGGTTTTGAAGAGCTTCTTTCGATGTTACTTTTACAGCGAATCCCCTTGGTCTTCCTTTCAATTGTTCTACTTGCCTTTTCCTCAATAGTTCTTTCTTTTCATGAAGAATCAAGAAATTTGGATTTGTCTTCTGCAATCTTAACCGGAATGTATTGGTCAATCCATACATCAGTTTATTTTTGCGATGTTCTAGCCCTATCCTTGCTTCAATGTTGTCTTGTTTAGGTCTTTTTTCTTTTTCTACATATTTTGGTGACAGCCTTTTCTTTGGATGCCTCTCTGTATAGTTGTTACTGATTGGAGTAGATGATTTAGGGTGCTGTGTTGGTGTTTCTGATTTAGCCACTTGGTCAACTACAGGAAAATCATCTTTTCTTTCTCTGTAAAGCCAAGCAAGCTGGGGATGAATAGTTAGAGGAATCTGGGGAAGAGCCTGATCACTTAACAAAGAAAGTTCTAGGAGAAGAGCATTCAGTAGGGGTAACTGACTGATAGTATTTCCTACATCAGATTGTTGTTGTTTACTTTGTACTTGTGACTTTATTCTGGATGTCTTTTCCATCTGATCTTGGGGTACACTTGAATGGGTTAAAGTTTGACTCATTCTAAATAGATGGTCTGTCTTTAAACCATCTTCTTCATCCGAATTATTCTCACGTGGAAAACACTCCACCTGATGCTCTACTGTTCTATACATTTGTGTATAGTTTTCTTCAGGTTCTTCTGCTGATTGATTATAGTACAGAGGTGGGGGACAAAAAACATTATCTGCAATGTCGTAAAAATCTCGGTGTTGTTCAATTTCTAGGTTTATTGATAATCTTCTTATCGTGTGTTGGGTCTGTGTTCCGGTTGACAATTTGCCAGGTCTACGGTTTTCATCTAATTCCGAAATGACGATGGGCACTTCAGTGTCGCCTAACTCAAGTTGCTGAACAAGAACGCTGCAATTATGAACTGAGTCGGGTTCCTTCAAGGAATGAGCTGGAATGCATCCGCACACTTCACACCGATATCCAACTGATCGTGGCGTACAGGGAGGAACACTTTCGTTTCGCACTCCAACTTTCAGGACGTCCTTCTCTGGGATGTGTGGGAGCAAACTTGTTCCCAGACTTAGGAGTCTGTGTCCAACAGTAATGTAACCAACTTTTTCGCCCATCAGGTTATATAAAGTATGTCCTCCTTTCCCTCCATGCGCAGAGGGCACTGCAACCCCATGCTTCTCCGCGTCTTGCCTGATCTTCTCGATCGTATCCCCAAGCGAAATCAGGCAACTGCCAACTAACTTGGGGAGGTGAGGGGAGACATCAAGCAGCATGGCGTACAAGGGGGTGTGGGTCAAGTGACTGTGCAGCGAGGCGAGGTTGATCCGGAATAAGCAGGATTTCCCTTTGCTGAACGTGCAGCTGCCCGGCCCGTCCCTCAGCTGTTGAGGGGCAGTGCCTTCCTCCTCGCCTGCCGAGGCCCGCCGGATGGCCTCCGCGCTCTCGGGCTCCACTTGATGGACCAGCACGGTCGGGAAGTCCAGGAGCCGGAAGGCCACGGCGAGCAAACGGCTGGGGGGCGCCGCGGGGCCCGGAGCAGCACACACCCCGGGAGCGGGAGCGCCCGACACCCGGACGCAATCCACCACCAGCTCCAGGGAGAAGAGGCTCTCCGCGGGGGCGGTTGGCGACAACCCCCCGCTACACGCGTCCATACTCTCGGTAAAACACCGGCAACCGGCACGGGTTGGGGTAGCTATGGTTACGGGTTGCCAGGACAGCTGCTGCAGGTGACCGCACGAGCGAAATCAAAAGGGCCGCCCAGACTCTTTTTTTTGAACCCGACACCTTGGTAACGCCGACTCCTCTTGGCCCCAGGTATCGCGAGACGGGGGGATCCCTGGGAGATGCAGGCGGCGGCGGCGGCTGCTCCGTTTGATCGCGCGTTCGGCGCCCGCACCCGGCGGGGGGACTACAACTCCCGGCAGTCTTGGCGAGCGCATCCTCTGCGGAGTGGGCGCGGCCTGGCTCTGCCTCTGTCGCCGGAGATTAGCAGGTCGATCGAACCAATCGCGAGTTGGTTCGATCGCGTCTCTCCTCCCCCCCCACCCACCCCCACTCCCACCCCCGCCCCTATTTGACTGGAGTGGCAGCGGGAAAGCCAATGAGCGGCGGGTGGGCGGGGCTCAAGCCCGCGGCTGGGGGCGGTGGAGGAGGCGGGACTTCCGGTGTTGGAGGTTGGGCTGAGGTGCGAGGGGGAGGGGGGGGGGGGGGGGGAGGAGGAATGTGGAAAGTTTTGTGTGTCGCTGCCGCTCGGCCGCAGAAGGCGGTGCTGTGATTGAGGGGAAGGGAGTCACAGCCTGTGGGAGAGGAGCTTGAGCTGAGCGGCCACTGGGACCCACACAACACACACACGCACACACACACACAGCACTGTATAAACACCGCGCACTCCTTTCACCCGCGGATACAAACAGCCACAGAGAAGGGAAGCGCAGCTCGGAGTGTGTCACTGGGTGTGAGGCTGGTCTGCTCTTGGCGTGGGGGGTATTACCAGGTGAGTCCTGAGCTCTCCTCTCTCTCCCCCCCATCTCTCTCCCCATCTCTCTCTCTCCCCCCCCATCTCTCTCCCCCCTCTCTCTCCCCCCATCTCTCTCTCTCTCCCCCTCTCTCTCTCCCCTCCTCTCTGGCTGTACCGTGTGGTTTGTAGCTCGTGTTAAATGTTGACAGACAGAAAGTGTGTGTCAGTCGGTGGGATCCCCGATAGATGGACCGATTCTTGTGACCGAATCTGTCTCTGTCTGTCTCTGTGTGTCTGAGTGTCTGTGTGTCTGAGTGTCTGTGTGTGTCTGAGTGTCTGTCTGTGTGTGTCTGTCTGTCTGTGTGTGTGTCTGTCTGTGTCTGTCTGTGTCTGTCTGTCTGAGTGTCTGTGTGTCTGAGTGTCTGTGTGTCTGAGTGTCTGAGTGTCTGTGTGTCTGTGTGTCTGTGTGTCTGAGTGTCTGTGTGTGTGTGTGTCTGAGTGTCTGTCTGTGTGTGTCTGTCTGTGTGTGTGTCTGTCTGTGTCTGTCTGTCTGAGTGTCTGTGTGTGTGTGTCTGAGTGTCTGTCTGTGTGTGTGTCTGAGTGTGTGTGTGTGTGTCTGAGTGTCTGTCTGTGTGTGTGTCTGTGTGTGTGTGTCTGAGTGTCTGTGTGTGTGTCTGAGTGTCTGTCTGTCTGTGGGTTATCACGGGCGCCACTGGCATTTTTCTCTTAATCGTTATCTATATAGTTTTTATTTTATATGTGTAAGAAAAAAATGTGCATTTTCTGTCGAATGCTTGAGAGAGAGAGAGGGAGAGGGGGAGAGGGAAACCTTTCATAAAGAAAAAAAAACTAACTTCCTAAAATTGAAGCGGGTTATTTATTTGTCC